TCTAGAGGGAGCTGCCGGTACTGCAGTCACTCCACCCCAGACACATCACACCAGGCTTGTCTCCTGGGTCAGTCAGATGCCATCATAAAGCTTGCCAGCAATCTACTAGCAATGATTACTAATAAACACTAGATTCCATATCAGTGAACTGCCAAATACCAAAACAAACTCTCAAGGATTTTAGAGAAGCCACTCAACCTTTCTTTTTCCTATTAAAATTAAGTGTAAGTTATCTGTTCATAGGTTTCAGGATTATTCAAAGTACTCACTGTATAGACAGACTCAACTGCTATTTCCCAATCAATTAGATTCTTATTCTTCATTACCAAAATAAAGTACAATTATTTTGAATGTGTTAAACTGCATTATGATATGCCACCTGCTTATCTGAGGAACATATGCCAAAAGAAAACATTTATTCTAAGATAAAAACCAAAAAGGCTCATATATACGGCTCATGGGTGGACACCCGTGCACTGGGCTATGCATTTACTAAGGATGTAAAAAGAGTACGTGATCCAGGAAGTAAGATTAAAATAGCCCCCAAAATATACTTACAGCGATTTAATCATTGATACTACTTGGTAGGACATTTTATCTGATTTCTTTACCAAAAAATAAAGGGAACAACTTTGTTACCCCCATGGTTTGCCCACAGAATTTCAAAGTAAAAAATACTCAAACAAAATGTACGGCAAACATCAATAATTTAAGGGCAGCTGCTGTTCAGAACTTTTGTGTGATGTGTGTAAAATGCCTGAAAATTTTAAAACACAAAAATTCCTGGAAGAGGTAAAATTCGTGTTTATCAAAGGTTTTCTGTGAGATGTTGTCAGTAGGGAAGGAAGACTTTGGATCTGATCTGCAGGAGGACATCCCTCGAGAAAGCTGAGTGAGAACAGTGAGGGACTGGCCCCGAAGGAGAAAGGGGTTTAACAGTTTTCACCATGGAACCTGTGGCTTTCACTGTCATGTGGTTTATTTACTCCTAACTTTATACAAACAATTACTACCCTAAAATCATTCTGAAACAAGGAAGGGTCTAAATAAAGATAATAAAAATAATCATTGCAAAAACACTCATTTTGAGCCAAAAGACAATGAAGTTCATTTACTTTTGCCATTCTCCCCTTTAATCGTTTTTACATGACTTCAGGTTTTTGCATTTAAAATCTGAACCAGGCTGCTCTCACGTAACGAATGAGTTGATGAGTAACACTTCCAAATTCTCTCAAGGTAGCACTTTCCACATATGGATGTTTTCAGCTCTGTGTAGATAACAGTTTACTTTTACCATCAATGACATTGTTGAAATTACATTTAATGTCAAGATAGATAAACAGTTATTTTATCTGTTCACCTACGATTGAGAGCAGCAGAATGCCTCCACGATGATTTAATTTCGGTAGGTAAGGAATTATTCCACCAAGCCCAGGGGTTGTTTGGGTTTGTTTTGTTTTTAATAGTTCCTTCCCACCCCTGCATTGCCATGGTGCTAAGATTACTTTCTCTTCCGCTTCTATTGACTTCTCAGGTAGCTAGCTGGCTCATTTTCATTCATTTATATGCAGAAGTTTTTTGGTTTTTGTTTTACAAACCATAAAATAATTCCTTCTGTATTCAGTATATGAACTCATAGGCAGCAATTTACATTTTTTAACAAGTGATTTATATGTGAGAGTAATTTTACTGAAATCTTTAAAGACTTCCATTAGGAGGACCAGATAATAGAAGAATGGCTTCTAAACAAATGGAAGTTCTTTTGGAAGAGGGAGAGGGACAACTATTATTAGATCATTTGTATGGTTTAATCAGGATCCATATTCTCCCACTAGTTAGTCACCTACCAACCTCAAAACCAGAATGTAGAGTATCACACAAAGAGAGAAAAGATAACCTCGTCTTCAAGCTGTTTCTAATCTAGCTGAGGAGCAGAGGAAGACATCTGTGATAAAGCTGGAAAATTCCAAACTGCACTGAACAGATAATTCAGCACCCCTATTTGTTATACCAAAAGAACAAAAAGGGACTCAATGCTTTTAAAAAAAAAAATTGTGTGCAGTGGAAAAAAACTGCCTGAGAAACGACTACATTGGGTAAGGGAAAAAGAAAGTAAGCCAGATACTCCCTACACACCCATCACCTGCCAATCACTCAGCTGTTTTTTTTTT